TTTCATCCTACCTTGTGCCAGAGCTGGTAGAGGAGCCCCAAGCGATACACCACCACCAGCAGCGTCACCGCCAGCACCGCCAGGAGCCCGGCACAGGCGCAACCGATGGCGGCGAGGAGATCCATGGGGACGCCGACGTGCTGGGAGCTGGGAAATGGTGCCGGGATGGAAGAGAAAAACCCAAACAACCCCACCCCCCCCCAAAAAAAAAGCCCCATGAGATGGGGTTGCGCTGAGCCGAAACCATCGTGGTGGCACGGTGCCACCGTCCCCAAGCCCTGGGGTGGCCCTGGGGTGGTGACAGTGAATTGAACCTGGATTAATTGAAGCCAAATTAATCAAATCTGGTTTAACTGTACCCGGTTTAACTGAAGGCAATGAGTTGAACCCGGTTTAACTGAACCCAGTTTAACTGAGCCTGGTGTAACTGAGCCCAGATCAACTGAACCCAGCTTAACTGAACCCAGCTTAATCAAACCCACCTTAACTGAACCCAGCTCAATCAAACCCACCTTAACTGAACCCAGCTCAATCAAACCCACCTTAACTGAACCCAGCTCAATCAAACCCACCTTAACTGAACCCAGCTCAATCAAACCTGGTTTAATTGAATACAATTTAATCAAACCTGATTCACTGAACCTGGTTTAATCAAACCCAGTTTAACTGAACCCAGTAAACTGAACCCAGTTTAATCGAACCCAGCTTAACTGAACCCAGTTCAGTTGAACCTGGTTTAATTGAACACAGTTTAATCAAACCCGATTCACTGAACCTGGTTTAATCAAACTTGGTTTAACTGAACCCAGTTTAATCGAACCTGATGAACTAAACACAGTTTAATTGACCCTGGTGAACTGAACCCAATTTAATTGAACCCAGCTTAACTGAACCTGGTTCAATCGAACCTGGTTTAACTGAACCCGGTTTAATCGAACACAATCTAATCAAACCTGATTCACTGAACCCGGTTTAATCAAACCTGGTTTAACTGAACCCAGTTTAACTGAATCTGGTTTAATCGAACCCAGTTTAATCGAACCCAGCTTAACTGAACCCGGTTCAATCGAACCTCGTTTAATTGAACACAATTTAATCAAACCCAATTCACTGAACCTGGTTCAATCGAACCAGGTTTAACTGAACCCAGTTTAACTGAAGCCAGTGAATTGAACACAACTTAATCAAACCTGATTCACTGAACCCTGTTTAATCAAACCTGGTTTAACTGAATCCAGTTTATTTGAACCTGATGAACTGAACCCAGTTTAACTGAACCCGGTTCAGTTGAACCTGGTTTAATTGAACCCAGTTTAATTGAACCTGATTCACTGAAGCCGGCTCAATCAAACCCGGTTTAACTGAACCCAGTTTAATTGAACCCAGTACCACTTCTCCAGCTCAACCCCCGGCGCCAGCCCAAAGCCAGCTCATTTGCATAATTACCACCTAACGAAGGCGGCGGCGGCACCCCGGCGTCAGTCTGCCGCAATTCTTGGCGTGGGCATAAAGACCTGAGGGGAAAAGGCGGGTGATACCAAACTCGGCCTAATTTCCCCCAAAATATGTCCCCCCCTGTCCCCACAGCCACCCCTGTCCTGATGGTCACCTCCAGACCATGGCCCCATTGTCCCCTCTGTCCCCATGGCCACCCAATTGTCCCTCCATCCCTGTGGCCACCCCGTCCCAATTGTTGTGTGTGTCCCCCCCATCCTTGGTGGCCCCCATGTCCTTATGGTCACCCTGAACCTGTGGCCACCCCCATCCTGGCTGTCCCCCCCCCT